GTTTTACGTTTAACGAGGTCGAAATGTTACCGCATTCGGCGCTCTGATTGGTTAGTTAATTGCAGCCGACCAATCAGCGCCGAATGCGGTCTCACTTCGATCTCTTTTAACTTAAAACAAACACGTAGTAAGTCCTCTTGAGTTATCTCTTTCTAGAATTCTGATTGGTTATCCTATATTGATGTTAGAAAGAGAATAGCAGTTGACTGCATTGTCGTTGTCTCTTTCTATTATGTATCCGGTTCTGTGACGTCATTGCTCAGTACAATAGAATTTTTAAACGAATGGATGTATCTTAAAGGTGGTTATGCTTATAGCTGAATCATTAATTTGTATAATTTAACCAAGTTTCTTGTATTTCATGATGGTTTTCAGTAAGACATATCTCTGGTGATCCTTACAAATTGATAGGATGTTTAAACTGACCATTAAATTTTCTCAGTTATGCATATAATCGTCTTTAAGATGACATATAATTCAACATTTTACTCTATAAAACTGCTGTTAGTTATTCATCGGAGTTTAAAAAACTTTTACTCGTTTGTTATGGTGGTAGTCTGAGTTTTATTGCCAACATAATCATGATTCTGAGAGTTTTTTTTTTATAAAATACTGTTTTGTTGAATAATGATTCTATTGATACATAAACTAAAAGAATTAGAAGATTTGACGTCTCATGTACAATGCAATTAATATACTCGAATACATAGCTCATTATACGTATGTTGGCAATAGAACGCAGACTATTAAAAAGGAGGTTTTAATGTGTGAGCACATTTTAGACCTAAACGATTTGACAGTTGAGTTTCCAACTTTGTTATTGGTTGATTGTTTTTGGATAACTTTAATCACGTGTCATGATTTGAGAGATTGCTCGGATCCGGACTTTGGTTAACAGATTCTGGTCTGTATATAGTAATAATAGTTAAAGTTACAGATGTTTTATCTAACAAGCGCGGGTACGCCATACTTGTGTGAGTACATGCACATTGTCTTTGTTTGCGTACGCTCGGGAACGCCCAGTTTCGGCCGGCCAATGAATGAGTGTGCTGCGAGTTACGCACACAAGGGCGTGTGTCTATGCGCACTACAACTATGGCTCACCTGCGCTTGTGAGATATAAGTACAGTAGTGGTTCGAGTCTTGATTTAATAATTTAGTTTGAAGAAATTACAGAGATATACAGAGAAAAAATGTACTTCCGCGTAGAAAATATATTTTGTCGTCTTAAAATCGTTTAAGTCAAAACGTGCTCACACCAAGTAGAGTCAATTATAAGCTGAAAGTTCAAAAGAGAATGTAATAACGAAACACCAATGAAATGAAATCAAAATTTTACACTGCCACATTATAATCCTTATAAATTGAATTATTGTAGAATAGTTGTGTTATTTAAATATAGGCTAGAATAGTTATTCTATCGTCTTTTGTATAGTCGTTTGGTATGCGATTCTCTTTATGTAAACCTTTCGGTTTTTGTAGAACATGGTTTGAGCTCATGAATTTTTGTCCAATTAGTTTTTATTCTCACTAAAGGTCAGTATTTAGACATTTGATTTCCTTTTTTAAAGATATGACCTTGGTCTTCAAAAAGAAGCATATATTGTTCAGAGTTTCATTTAATTTTAAAGTTGTGGAATAGGTTTTAATTTTTAATTAATGTCCTGGGTAAAAATATTAAGCGAGTGATTTATTGACGAACGGGAGAGACTCTGAAACATTCAATGATTACTTATTAACCTTTTCGTAACCTCTGGCATTTCGGAACGCAGATCTACGCAAGACACAATGGGTTTTCTATTGTGTGTCATATATCGACAGACAAGAGGTTAAATTATTTCTTGGTTTAAGTAACCATTAAATTACCCTGAGTTAGAGTAACTTTACCTAACTTGAAATCATCTATTTTACAGCCAATCTATTGTAATAACTGTGTTCATAGCGTTAAAGTTGAATTTCACAAAAACATGGTTTATCTAAAGAGAATCGTAATTTTCTTTGTCATGAAGCTATGATTGATCCGTGATTTTGGTTAGAATGTGAGGCTTTGAATTGTGAAGGCAAAATGTGCCTTATTCAATTACAATATGTGTTCAAATATATTTAGGGAGGCGTTTGATTTGGTAATATGGCCAAGTAGTCACTTTGATAAGGCACTAAATTTATACTACGACTAGCGATTTATATTCGCGTGACATTTGTCCTTGAAATCTTTAATAAGCAATCTATCCGTTTGTATGAGTCGTCGGAAAATTGATTCAGTAGTTTTTGAGATCGCGTTCATATAAACATACGCGCTAAGGGGTTTTATTTTGCAGTGTCGTAGAGATTAGATGATGATTATATTATGACATGCTATTAATGGTGCGTCCACACTACTGTTAAACATATTTACTAAACATCTAATCTTATTCAATCATTTGAACGTATTAGATTTTTACTGATCGCCAACCCGCCTTAAACAAGCGTGGTGATGAATGCTCGTACCTTCTTCGTGCGAGAAGAGGCCACTTACAAGCTGTTGATGTAATAATGTTTAGTAATGCTTGTAAACTTTTAATAGTAGTGTGGTCCTACCTTTACAAATTACAATCTCTTTACGCTTAGTAACTAAAACTCTTGCCAGGGTCCTACACGACGGGAGTTCAACACAGAAATCATTCATAGCTTCATGCGACCCTTTTAATCGGATCTTATGAAAACAATCACAATTTTGAAGGAATCACAATGTTTTTGGATTTTATCGCACCGATTGGTTGAACGTGTAACTCATGTGACTGTGATAGTTTTATTTATTATTTTTTTCAATTTTTTCTCGTAATAGTTTTTAGTCTAGAAAATTGTCTATTCTTTTTTTTCTTCTCCTTCAACAATGACTAAAGTTTTGCTTTTGTCTCTGGTCGATTTGATTGGTTTGAAGAAAATCTCTTTTGCTGTTATATAGATAACAGTATAGTTATATTGCTCTTAGGTAACGCTTTCATTATTATTTTTTATCAAAATTACTTATTTTAGGACTTTAGAAATATGATCAATATGAAAATGTTACATATTATGAAGAAGTAACTTTATAGGCCATCAGGAAAGGCGCGGCGAAAATACCGTCGTCAAGCATCTTTGGCATACCATTTTCATTCGTATGCCATAGAAGTCAAGGTTCATTTTAATTTGATTTATTCTTAGTATATCAGCGCCCCCGCTGGTGCGCGATAAAAAACGATTTGAGTTCTGATTAAGAATATTAGATATTTGTTAAATGGGTATTAAAGTTTTTTCACAAGGATCTGATGTTAAAATGATCTAATAAAAGCAATATATTGCATAATAATATTTATTAAATGTATCAAAATTTCAGTATTATAGTAAAATTTTAGTCATTGTACTCCTTATTGTGTTTGGTTTTACATTTATAACTTAATTAATGAATGTGAGGGAATATGACATGAATTATCTGCAGAATATTAAACTTTGATGTTAAAGTGTTTTTAACTATTATACAAATTTTTACAGTGATAATAAATGATATGATATTTTATAAATGGATTTCAGACGTTTTTTTACAGAATATAAACTCCAAATTAATTTTTCTTTAGCCAGGCAATGTCAACAGTATAGGCTAAGTTTGCGTTATTCATTTTATTTTAAAATGTTGGTAGTGCCTGGTTGAATGTACGAAATATTTCATACACACATTGCTGGTAATATTGTTCATATTTTCTATTATTTCTTGTATGTGTGAAGCAGTGATAGACGATTGATGTTATTCTTAGATCCACTACACTGTCGTGCAGAAAAATTGCTACCAAATGTTTATGCATTTTTTTTTGTTGCTGATTTTGGCAAATCGAATACGTAGGTCGGTTTTTTGCACGCCAGTGTAAGTTATCACCCAAAGATTGTTATGAATTTATACAAGAAATATTTATGTTGAATAACAAATAAAATTATCCAATGTATAATTTTTTATTCTTGTTTTTAAGACGATTTGATTGACTCCAAGTTTGGATCTTGCGATGTGCTGTAGATTTTGCTCTTGTTTTTTATTTTTTAGTTGATATATTGTCATTTTAATAATGTACAGTATGCTAAACAATATCATTAATCAGGAAGAAATCAATGCAATCAAATGAAATAGTTATACGAATTAATGTTTGTCGCAGAGATTGGTCAGTTTAAATGTGTTTCTTTCAGAGCAGAATGCACAGCATCATCGTTTCCTATACTTGTGACGTCAGTGTTAGCGCTGGGCGGATCCATAGATTTGAAGTCATCAATCAAACAGCCCCGAAGCGTGCGTCCTCTAGAACTGAACATAGAACCTATCACGACGGGCCGGCTTTTCACCACGTAAATTGTATGAGAACATTCTAGATTTTTTTTAGTTGACAGAATAAATGTCCCACTTTCTTTGGCCAGTAGTGTGAGATTTTTTAATCTAATTTAGCTTTTATTCTTACTGTCATAAAGTTTCATTTGACATTTTCTTCTTTCTTCTAAGAAAATCAATGTGCACCAATGTTCTCATACAAGCTACGGCTAGACTAAAGGTATTGATTGATGACGGATAACTATAAGGCTTCGTTCACACTGTAACGCCGATGCCGTCGTGGTGCCTCCTCTATGCTCTGTTCTGTTGACGCTATAACCTGTATTTCTGTCGGTACCTTAATTTTATCGCGGTATAGTGTGGTATAAGCAGACGGAGGCATCACGGCGGTAAGTATGATGTTCTATGTTTATTATGCTTTTATTGTGATGTCTTTTGTTTTTTATGGATGGATTGATTTTTGTAGACCTATGTAAGCTTAGAAATGAGCCTCTTAAATATTCTTTACGGTATTGGTATCCTATTGTTACTATTTAACAACAGGTAACCCGTAAACTAGCTTATCACTCTAATGATCTATATTGAATGAAAAAATATGGTGTCTAATACAGAAAACTCAATCCATCCACTACCCCCAATCTAGTAACGAAACTAAAAAAAACCCTTTCTGCAGTTTGCGGGGCCAAATACAAGACGCGGCCTGGTTTGACGTACCACTTCACTCACACGCACAAGGAGCCGGCGGGAGGGTCAGGCGGGGCTGGTGCCAGTGACGGGGACTCTAGAGACTCCAGGCCTGGGGCCCATACTCCCCCTGCCCACCAAGTGCCCCCCCTCCAACCCGCGACAGAGTACCAAGACAGCTACGTCACCTTCCTCAATAACCCTGCTGTGGGCACTGGTAAGTACTTCTAATTTTTTTTAATCCGGGTCTGTTTCAAGAATTGGTTTGGAAGAAACACGATCTGCGGATTTGGTTAAGTTAAGGTGAACCGAGATGGAAAATAGCAATGTATGAAGACAATTTATTTCATTTGTAATATCTAATTTGTGATAATGTGATTGTTTGTCTTCTTCAGTGGGTTTTCTATCTCTGTCCGGTACAGAATTACATCGATTTATACCTTTTAAACCATAACAAGTTTACTTTTGGTTTGCGCAAACATGCGCAACGGTTCAACATTGCGCTAAGTAAGTTTGCGCAAGTACTAAATTTTTTTCGCAAATAACAATATTGTTTAATTCCTAGTTTTACTAATGGTAAAATAGAAAATAGATTACTAAATTAATTAAAAAACAGAATGTAGCAATGAGTGATGCATGCACATTACTGGTAATTCGTGTGAGTTTACAAATGTTTATAATTTCATGCAACACAAGTGTCCTGAGGGCAGCGTAAGTGGTGTTCATCCATCATTATTTGACTACTTTAATATTCAAAAACAATTTTGTTTAATTAAAATATATTATCGCGATACTGTAAAAATATATAGAATTTTTATTAATGACTGTTGACGAACAAATAATGAAAATCAGACGTACGTGAGCTGGGAATTTACAGCTTTATAATAAAATCTTTGTATGCAGTTATATCGACGTAATTTGTGTTATAATTGAAAGTGAAAACAAACTACTCAATTCTTACTGTTACGTCTAAGTGTATAATATAATAATAAAACTTATTGTGATATACGTAACGCAAGTCTGAAAAACCTAGTACCAAATAAAACATTGTTATAATACCACTATGCTAGGACTTGTTTGAACCAAATATGAATCTTATTCCTAATTATTATGGTTCCTAAAAGTACCTACACTCTCATGATGTATTGAGAGATGAAGTTGCAAAAAGAAAAGTATTTTTAGGTTTTGTTACTGAACTTAGTCTAAAAAGTTTAGTAGACCGGGCGAACCATCAATTCTATGAAACTCCAACAAAAATCCCGGTTGTTGTAATTTGATCTTTCTCTAGTAGTACGAGAGTCTACATTTATATCGTTACAGTAAGCCAAGGTTCAGTAAAAGACATACATATTCTCAGATATTGTTTAGGCTTAAAGGTTATAGATATGTCAGCCGTACATAATAATTATTGTCTTTAGCAGCCAGCCAGCAGGAGACGCCTGCTCGGCGCCCGACCCCACCACCAGAGGGTTAGATACAAAAATAATTTTACGCTAAATAACTTTTCATTTGCGGTCTATTTTATTTTAATTCCTTTCATTGCGTTGACGTGAACGTGTTATATTTTTTTAGCTCTAGTTTTCTTGAAGACAAATATTTCTGCATTATTTGCATTCTCCAATTTTATTATTGACGAATGTTTTGTTATCGTTTTTATTTCTATGCTTGTATGTAGTCGAAGATCAACATACATTGGTCAAGCAATTTTAATGATATTTTCATCTCTAGCGGGTGTCCCAACGCCACCAGTACGCCGTGCGTCTCCTCCGCCTCGACCAGCGTCAGCAGACACTTCAAGTTCGGACTCGGCACATGTTCCACTGTCTGCGGCCCTGCATAGTGCTACACCAGCATCAGCACCTTCGGCATCTGCTGCATCAGAGGCTAAGGAGCCTGGAGAGGGTAAAAAGGATGTAAGTAGAGTTAGGTTGTGATATTATTTTAATTAGTTAAGTGACGAAACTCTTACAATAGTTTTCAGACTAGGCCAAAAAGTGTTTACTTAAAATGCTACTATTAGTACATTGTGATTTTTTAAGGAAACAAATATTTTTTAAATTAACCAAAAATCATGGGTTACTCACGTGAAAATACTCTAAAAAGATGTACTAGTTTCGAACCCCGGAGGGGTTCTTCCCGCCCGTGATTTTTAATTATTTTAGTATATTTCACGATTGTTATTGTAAAGACAAATATTTTCTATTCAATAATCCGTTTCCTCTAAGATTCATCTCTTTGTCCGTAGGTGACACCATCACCATACTGCGACTTCTGTCTCGGCGATGATAATGAAAACAAGAAGACGGGCACTCCAGAAAAGTTAGTCAGCTGCGCCGACTGCGGCAGATCAGGTAAGAGGCGCGGCCGACCTCCGCGCAACGGTCTCCCAAAACCTTCGTGCTATCATCTTGAAAACCGCGTCTGTGAACGTCATCGGTACCTTCGAGACAGTATCAAGCTCAATGGCGTAGTAGAAATACATAGTTCCATGTCCTACTCAGCGGATGATTTTGACAACTTCGCTACCCAAACTAAACTTCTCCATGACGACTACGGTCAGTACCCTGTCTCTCCCCCTTCCCGTCAAAGCCCAACCTACGAATGTGATCTCTACGTCACCGGTTCGAATAATATCTAAAACTCGAGTATTATTTGTGTGTTTGTCTGTAAAAAGTTCACTATCAGTGCTCTTTTTGTCGGTCCTACCAAAGAGAATGTTTGAATTGATGGCTAGTTTTAATTATTACATTCCACGTCTCATACTCTTTTTCGAATGAAAAGACCTTTGATGCATATTTTAGTAGTTATATTATAATCGTGTTAGAATAGTGACATCCTTACTTATATTATAAATAGGAAAGTGAGTTTGTTTGTTTGTTTGTTTGTTCCACTTTAACGCCGTAACTACTAAACCGATTGCTTTGAAATTTTGCAGACGTAAAGTTACAAGTCCGGATTAAATAATAGGGTACTTTTTATCCCTGAAAAATTTGATATTCCCGAGGGAAAACAAAAGTATTGGTATAGATGGCGCTGTGTGTATTGTACCAATGTACATTGGCTTTTTATCCTTTTGTGACGCGAGCGAAGCCGCGGGTAAAAGCTAGTCACAATATAAATGTCAAAATCTTTGTCTAAAGTAAACCTTTTTAAATCATATCCGAACATAATTAATGATGATATCCATATGATAATTCTATGTCACATATCATTGTGAATTTTTAACCCGTGTGTCAGTGTTGCACTATGTGATCTTGGTGTTGCCATTTTGATAAAACAACACTTGTGACGATGGATGCCAAATGATGAGATATTTTAAATTGTTGTCTGTTGTAATGTTTATACCTTAATCGTTTTTTATTATTTTTAGTGAGTACAAGTGCCTTATCAAAATTACATGATTTCGTATGTGATCACGCTAGACCGTAGTGTTGCCAGTCGCGTTGTTTTATATTATCAATATTTTTTTTAAAGATCATTCAAAGCTTACCTATAGGTACTGTTTTAATATTTTGAAAAGTAGTTTCAATAACTACACAATATATTACTCCAATAAAGAGCAGTAACACAACACAGTCGTTACCTGGCAACACTAAGGACAGTATAATTTAGTCATAGCTTCGCTTGATGCCAAATAATGTTGCCACTCAGAGGTCCATCTGTTGTGGCACAAATCGTTCAGATGTCCTAGCTTTCTAGTCACGCTGCAACATAGTCACCGCACGCGACACTCCGTGCCCAATATATCTTGAAATGTGACGTCACATACGTCAGTTTGACATCTAATGTCATGTGTCAAAATAGTGTATAGTTTTCATATTAGCCGAGTTGACCTCTAGGCTTATGAGTCTCAGTCATACAGTTCAGGATAATATTGGTTACAAAAATATAGTTACCCGACTACGCAAGTTTACTTAGCAATAATGTTTTTATATTTTTTTCTAGTTCAAAGAAAGCATTTTGAACTTTACACCTCATTATTCATAGAAATCCTGAATAGTTTTGTTTCTATCATGGAGACGGATGGATCTGTTCCGTTATGAAACTTATTAAATGCATGTTTTACGTAGACATATCTATGTATTAACCCTAGAGTGGGCGTGCTATGAGCATTTTGCCGCCCGAGCTAAAAAAACGTTGATAACTTTTTAAACAATTGCCCGATAGTCTTGCACTTTTTATTAGTTGCTTCTAGTCTCGTTAGCAATGCGTGCCGAAATATTTAAAACTTAGTCCGCTAGGAACCGGTTAAGAAGATGTTTGTTACCAGGGCTTCGCAGGGAGGCAAAATGCTTATCACGCACCCACAGACGTCTCGCAAAAAGGCGCGCCCACTCTAGGGCTAAGTTTGCCAACATACTGTTTTAAGGTCATATTTAAACTAAGACATTGTTATTAGTCAAAAGTGGGTTTTAATACTAAATCTAGTGACTATTCTAAAGCGTAGGCGGGTTATAAACAATAGCTTATTATAAATATTACATAGGAGCTTTTACGTGCCTTTTTGAACACCCATTTTTTTTAATCGTAACCCAAAGATTTTGAAAGTAATTTTAGTTTAAAAGAAGACTAACTTCATGTTGTTAATGTGTTTTTAGCCTTATCATACGTCATCATACGTCATCGTTGACACTTTTTTAAATTTAGAATTTTAAAGCGGCCAGTTTCACATGGCTACACTTTTTCAAATTTTCTCAGACCATAGAGTTAATTGATTGAAGTATCTGCTTTTATTTATTTTTTTAATACACTAAAGTATGGCATTGATGATAAAATATCATTCCTATAGCTATAGACATGTTTTTGTTTTAGTTTTAAGTAAAGTTTTAATCGAAATTAGGTTTTAAATTTTATTATATGCGTAGATTTATTATTATATATTATAATGATATATTGACAATTTATTCTTCATAGTATATTTCTGTAGTAGTTATCAAATTATTACTTTATAGTTTTTTAGTTAGTTATTGTGGAGATCGTTTTAATAGCGTTTTTTACCGTTTTAGATCTTTTATTCCTTAATTTTGGTACACAATGTTGTTTATTGGCCATTTTATTAAATATAGACCACAAAACAATCATCATGATTATCATATCAACAATAAGAAATCCCCTACTGAACATAAATCCAAAGACTTTAAAATTAACCAATAAAGAAAAATCCTTGTTAATAAATTGTCTAGTATTATAATTATTTGAGTTACAAGTAATATAACTATTTTAAGATTCGACCAATAATGATACACTGTATATTGGTCGAGTCAGATTCGTAGTTATGAAATGCCTAACCGGCCTTAAGTAATTTGTTATTGTTTTAAAATTCTAACCACTAAAAAAAGATATTTTACTATAAAACTCTGAAACACCAGACCTTAAAGCCATCTTTATTTTATTAGACTTAAAGTCTATTTTCAAATACGTGGTTACGATATATCAGTATTGACTCCTTTTCACCACAAATCCAACGTTATTTCACTACGTTAAAAGTCTATTTTCAAATACGTGGGTACGACATATCAGTATCGACCCCTTTTCGCGTCAAATCCTTCTTTATTTCATTACCCTTAAGGTTTATATTCGAATACATAGTCACTAACACCATTGTGTACATAATTGGCTTGATATATTGGTACCTATGTACTTAAAAATTGGTGCCGCTTCATGTAAAGCCTTTTCACATGAAACGGCTTTGAAGAAGGGACATAGTATAAGTTACCGTCTTTATAAATACATTATATAATTATATATTATCGTGTCACGTCTGTTAGGTGCCTTAGTCTGTGCAATTGTAACCTTTTAGAGTTTGTATTTATTATTGTGTCTATGTCGAATTGTCGAGTTTATACATGGTGGTGTTTTGAACGATCTTTATTTTGTTTTGAAGACTTTAAATTGATTTACCTTTTTGTATTTCATGTCAAGATATGTTTTTTTGTATAAAGGTGAAATAAATCCTACGATTTATTTCATGAAATTGTATGTTTACCTATATTTTTTATTTACACGAAAGTAAATATATTATTTATTCAGTATAGTATGCCTTGAACAAAATATTCCTTAACGAGTTTGCATAAATGAGACATTCGTATTCAAAACACCCTGTATAATAAAGAAAAAAAAATGCTGTGTCTGACCATGTCTTCAATATTTATATTAAACTTTAAAACAAGAATATAATCGATATAGTCGAAATATGTACATGTTTAGCAAGTTTTTATTAAAAAATAATAGTTGTTATAATAATCATTATAGAAACACATTATTATTATTATTTATTATGTCAAGTTTATGTGGGAATTTTATGTGAGTGTTTAGTGACTGTTATGAGTCCTTTAGTTATTCTGGTACTTAAAAGTACCTCCTTCAGTGTTTATTATTATAAATGTTTATAATAGTACCAAAATGTTAATTTTCTCATATTATTTTTCCATCTCGGCAATATATTACATTATTTTTAATGCCTGTAGGGAAGTGCATAAATGCGAATACCCAAAGATTTAAACTAAAAAAAAAACAATCTTTCCGTTATGTTGTTTCGTATTTTTTTTTATTATTTTTAGCGTAAGACCGAGAGTTATATAAAAAAATTCATTGTTTTTTCTGATTATTTTTATTTTTTTTTGTAATACATTGCTCTATTTTATTCAGAATTAAATTGTATGACGATTCTAAGTCGATTTTTTATTTAGTATTTGCTTGTGCTGAAGAATAGTGAATGTGCACTTCCCTTTAGACATTGTTTTTCTATTTTTTTTTTTACTTTTTTCGAAATAAAATTGTAATTTTTTGACATTTAATGGTTACTAAGCGTGTTTTTACTTTATTTTTCACTATTGTTCGGCACATTATGTTTTCCCCTTATCTTAAATTATTTGGAAATAGTCAATATTGATTTATTTGACATTGTGATCGAGATCGAAGATTTTATAAGGTAAGAAAAATATTATGTGCCTTACAATATGTGAATATTTTTTGAGCTCTTTATTTTTGTACGTGGTCATTCTGTGTAAAAAATTAAGTTTTAATAAAGAAATAATATAAATATTTAATATAATAGAAATAATATAAAGAAAAAGAAAACCAGTACCAAATTTGTCATGAAGTCAAAATTAAATACAAAAAAAAGGACCGAACCAATTGGTTAAAAATTATTATTCAACAAAAATCATTTACTTATAAAAACATTACTAATCGATATGGTAGATGGTACTTAAAATAAAGGGCTTCTGAAAATGCACCACTTATGAACATTACAATTATAATAACTAAATTGTAACCGAATGAAACTCGTGCGCAGCTCACCCGATGTGCCTGCAGTTCACTCCGAACATGATCGTGTCGGTGTTCAAGTACAGCTGGCAGTGCATCGAGTGCAAATGCTGCTCTGTATGCGGAACCAGTGATAATGATGTAAGTTGCAAACACTTATTATATTGTATGCCATTCTCACGTAACTGCTCTATAAGTTTCAAACTACGCCGGAGATTCATATTCATGTATATTATTTTTAAACATAACATAACATGTTGTCACTCCTTTTATCCCCGAAGGGGTAGGCAGAGGTGCACATTATGCCACTGTACAATGTAGCACCCACTTTTCATTATTTATGTTATGAGTCCCATGTAATATGAGATT